ACCTCCAGGTGTTGTGGACCATGACTCCCATCAGCTCCAGCCAGCATCAATGGCCAGGGGCTCTGGGAGTTGGAGCCCAAAACATCTGGAAAGCACCATATTGGTTTTCCTTGCTGTAGAAGATTAATTTTGTGCGTACTATCAGATGAGCTCTTAGGGGGCACAGTGTAGAGGGGTTTTTTGGGTGCAATACTTTCATTTTGCAGAGTTGTTTTGTGGTAGATCTTGTCAAGGGTGCCATAAGAATGCAAAAAGAACCTGCTGTGATTTGTAACTTCATTGACTCAGGTCCTACAGCGATGGCCACCAATTTAGTTTCAGCATGGGATTAGACAAAGTATTTTCAGTGGTGGCTCCTCATTTGTGAAACGTCAGAGGGACATCTGGCCTCATCTCCCTATATATTTTAGTTGACTATTTAGAATATATCTTTAGGGGTGGGTGTTTGGAGGGGAGAGCTCATTGCTGCTGATATTAGTAATTGTTTTTCAGTATCTATTGCCATGTGTTTTGACAGGATTGTGCTTATTTTAAATTAAGTGTGTGTGTGCGCGCACGCGTGTAGAGAGAGAGTTGTGCAAAAGGCAGTATATAAAGCATCTAAAATAATAATAAAATTCACAAGAATAAGGGTACCAATGATTCGGAATGCCAGTCACTGCAGAAAAGCAGCAGGAGAGGGCAATTTTCCCCATAACCTGTTTGTGGGGTCCCATAGGCATCCCTGGGAAGCAGTATGCTGGAATAGCTGGGCCTTTGGCTGAGGCAGAAGGACTCTTCTTATTTTCCTAGGTGCTCCTTTTTCAAAATTGTTGTTGAAACCTCCACTGATTTTAATGCAGGGAAATGCACGAGTGCGCACACACAGAGAGTTCTGCTCACCAGGTGATTAAAGGCAAATTGACCTGCATTTTTGGATCCATGAACTCATCTGTTCCATAAGCTGCTAGTAAACAACGTCTGATTCAGGTTTATGCCACAGACATTAGTTCCCTCCCCCCTTTCAAAAACGCTGTAAGCCAGACTGGCAGGATAGCTGTCAAAGAAGCTGACCAAGAGATGCCTGGTTTGTGTTCGTCATTAGATTTCTAAACAAGTTGAGTCTTGTCTTGGGTCCCTTTGTTAGCAAGTGCCCAGCCTTAAATATATCTGTATGTCTGCAGTGGGATTTGGGGGGGAAATAGAGTCACATGGTGCATTTTTGGCGCAATTGTTGTGGCTCAAAGTGGCCCTTCCTGTGCGCGGGTCACATTCCATTTTGCGCATACACCAAAGCCATGAGGCAGCCGTTCCTCTTAGTATTCAGACAGGGATACTGCTCCCCTCCCAAATAAAACACTTTGTGGGGCTTCCTTTGCTCTTTTGCAAGTTCTCTTCTTAGTGAGCAGGAACATGGTTAAAAGAGTTCTTTTGATGAAGCATTTGGAGCAAGGCTGTCATCTTTCTTAAGTCCAAACCACCCCCCACTCCCTCCCTCCCTCCACTCTTTCCTTTCAAAACCTTCAGTCCTTTTAAATTTATTCCTTTGATTTAATCTTGCTGTTGTTTTTGAGTCATGTGCCCCTTTCCCCTTAGAATAGTTCTGGTCTGAAGAGTTTGCTTTAAGTTCAGTCTTTATTTAGTCTGTCTAAAGTGATTTCATTCAGCCACAGTCTGTCTTATATTATTCAATTCTCTCTCTCTCTCTCTCTCTCTCTCTCTCTCTCGTGTATCTTTTTCACACACACCTTAGTGTGTCCCAGCAAGTGATTTTTAGGTACAGGCAACCCCCTGCATTACGTGCATTCAATAAACGACCTCGTCCAGTATTCCTGAAGGAGCGTCTCCACCCCCATTGTTCTGCCCAGACACTGAGATCCAGCGTCAAGGGCCTTCTGGCGGTTCCCTCGCTGCAAGAAGCCAAGTTACAGGGAACCAGGCAGAGGGCCTTCTCAGTAGTGGCACCTGCCCTGTGGAACGCCCTCCCACCAGATGTCAAAGAGAAAAACAACTACCAGACTTTTAGAAGACATATGAAGGCAGCCCTGTTTAGGGAAGCTTTCAATGTTTAACAGACTATTGTATTTTAATATTCTGTTGGAAGCCGCCCAGAGTGGCTGGGGAAACCCAGCCAGACGGGCAGGGTATAAATAAATTATTATTATTATTATTATTATTACCCATGAATTTTTCAGACCTACACCAACCGGCTCCTCAAATCAAAACACTTCCCTGCTGTCCTGCACGCAGGACTATCTGGGGCACCATCCTAATGCCATTGGATCAGGGCCCTCAAACAAAAACCAAGGGGGAAAAACAACTCCCTTTCGCTTCTACCACCCCATCAACTTAACAGGTCCCTAGCACAATAATCACAAGGCCTATTTGCCTGCAATCTGTCAGGCTTCTTACCTCTCTCATTTATGCTATTTTCAGACCAATTGTCCACAAAATACGAAAGTAAATTAAGCGATCCCTTTATCATATATCCCCAATCAGTAAAATCTGTCCTTGCAAGAACACTGCTACATTTTTCCTTCTGAAATTTGGCAGAACACGTGCCTTCAGGAGTGTCTACCATACGTGCTGACAAAAAAATCAAAAAGTTATAGATGTTTCTTTTTTTTAAAAAAAATAGTAATCAAAATGTAAAATTTTGCAACACATGGTCCTTATTTGCATGTCATTTGGAAGATTCCAGGGGCTACTATGATTGCAAATTTCATCCAATTCTGCCAAAAAGGGGGGGGTATTGGTTTTGTGATTTTTCCAATAGTGAAGGGGTGGTGGAGGAGGAAATGGAGCCCTGTTTTACCCCCAAGCAGACTTGGACCCTGAGCAAAATCAGACAGCCTCTGACACAGATTGGATTATAAGGCAGTCTGTTTTCTACAATCACCAAATCAGGAGCCATACCTTATGGTCAGTGCTGTGCACTTCTGGTTTCTACTTTACACTGTACTGCTCTCATTGCCAAATAGGCAGGGTGAATGGATGGGTTTGCAAAATGTGAAGGAGGACATTATTTCCCACTGGGAAATACCAGGACATGAGAAGAACAGAATCTGTTTTCTCCGAACTGTAGGTGACTCGTGCCAACAATTCCCTCTAGTGGGTATTTATATTTATCAAATTTATGTCCTGCTCCACAGCCAGGCTCTCTGAGCAAAATGCAATAAAATGCCATCTGCAAAATAAAAATAAATAATGAGGACAAGGACTCCAGCTAAAAATGTAATTTAATTTAAAGCTTTTAATAAAAGGGGTTTCATCTGCTGCCAGAAGGCTAATCTGGAAAGTGCTCTGTCAACCCCACTGGTTCTAAAACTGGAGTGATCACCCACCACATTTTAGATGGCAGAGGAACTTGCAGGCGAGTTTGCTCTGATGATCTTAATGCACATGGATGGGAGGAAATAAATGGAAGGAGATGTTCCTTTGGCTTGGCAGGTAATGCATTTTGGTCACAATGTCTTATTTCTAAAAGAAACCACTTGGCATTTGGACCAAAAATCCTCCAAAAACATATTCTAAGTGTACCCAAAGGTTGGCTGTGCCCTATGCAATCCTTGCTTTTCTACCTTTGAACCACAGTCTCCTTCTGAATGTCCAAACGAGTTGATAAGGTGGAGTATTTTTGAGCAAGACAAGCCCAAAACATCCTTAGATGTGCAGTGCCAGTCAAAGGGTTATTTTGATCCAACCCCAAATGTCTGATGGGCACCAAATCAACTAGCTGTTCATAAAGTATACACAAATGGAATAATGATACCCATTTGCACTCAGTGGTACCCAAGGAATACCCAAGGGGTATGAGAGGTATCCTTGATGGACAAATTACATTAACAAGTTTGGGTATTTGGTGAACAAATACAACCGGACTCATTTATTGATAGATGGCTTATGTTTCTTGTATGTATCAACAATAATTCTTCAGTGCAACTTTTCTTAAGTCAACACAGATCTTTTTGGAAGGACTAGGTTACTGAACAAACATTCAGAAGTGTGCAGCTATGGATTTATATCATTTTGCCATGTTATATTTATTATCGCTTTGAATACAAGCCTGATGTCAGTCTTTGACTCAGAGCTGCAGAAACAGCTTGCTGGTAAGGAACTAGATGTAGCTGGGCCTTATTCAAAGTAAACACAACAGTGATTTGTCAACCAGAGCTTGTTTGTAGGAGAGTTCCTTCAACCGTGGAGCCAGCGAGAATGACTTGGTCGGTCGCTTAAAAAGCTTGTGATTCAATTGAACTGTTTACATACACAGTATACACACACACCATACATATATAAAGATCTTTGTCAAAAGACAAAGGTTGCCTTACCTTTGGCTACCTAAACACTGACCAAGCATGCACTACATATTAATTAGTAACTGGTGTCCTGAAATACAGCAATTTTAATGTGTAAAAGCTTGCTTGTGTCTTCCAAATGGGGATATAAGCTAGTGCCAAAAATATGGGAAAATGTGCATTGTCTTTCTCTGAGTATAGCTTGCTAAGTTTTATCTGCCCCATCTGAAGTCTTTCAGCGAGCTGGAATCCTGTGTCTGGGTTAAACAGCCTGAAGGACTTCAGAGCATAAGGAACACGTCAACCTGCTGTCCTCCTCTAGAATATACAACCTGAATTCCAGAGTAGGTCCTGCTTCCCTTACTTGGCTATTCTAACATTATAAAGATGTGTGTCTTTAGCCATTGGCTGGTTACTTTTCTATGTGCCCTCCCCCCCACCCCACCTGGTGCAGGGTTGAGGGGCTTTTGGCTGAAATGTGGCCCTCCAGGGCTTTTTATCTGGCCCCTGTGACCATACCCACTTTTCAGGCCACACCTCTCCCCAGCCTTGCTCAACACTGCCCCCAGGTGCTTTCCCTGGAATGGGCCGTTGCACTGTGATAAGGCCTCTTGCTTACGCTGATGCAGGATGGACTGCTGTGCACATTAAACCACAGAATTGTAGAGTTGGAAGGGACCATAAGGGTCATCTAGCCCAACTCCCTGCAGTGCAGGAATCTTTTGCCCAACGTGGGACTCCAACTCATGTCTCTGAGATTAAGAGTCTCATGCTTTTCCAAACTGAGCTATCCCAGCTGCATCTGTGGCTCTGGCTACTTTTGCCTTGCACCCTACTGTCCGCTGGTACTTGGTCTCAGAAAAAAATGCTTTGCTCAGACTGAGAAAGGTTCCCCACCTAGGCAAGGATCATAGCTCTGTTGTAGAGGAATTGCCCGTACGCAGAAAGTCCTGGGTTCAAACCCCAGCAGGCATGTGAACGTTTTCCCTCTGAAACCCTGGAGAGCTGCTGTCAGCTGGGCTAGGCAATACAGTGCTACCTCGGGTTAAGAACTTAATTCGTTCTGGAGGTCCGTTCTTAACCTGAAACTGTTCTTAACCTGAGGTACCACTTTAGCTAATGGGGCCTCCCGTTGCCACTGCACGATTTCTGTTCTCATCCTGAAGCAAAGTTCTTAACCCGAGGTACTATTTCTGGGTTAGCGGAGTCTGTAACCTGAAGCGTCTGTAACCTGAAGCATCTGTAACCCGAGGTACCACTGTATGAGCTAGATAGATCAGGGGCCTGACTCAGAAGAAGGCAGCTCCCTATCTTCTGATCCCTGCACTGGTGGAATGCAACAGGGAAAGTGTCCCTAACATTTCAGCCTGACCTGTTAAGGATATGTTGTTCTCCATACAGTGGTACCTCGGGTTAAGAACTTAATTCGTTCCGGAGGTCCGTTCTTAACCTGAAACTGTTCTTAACCTGAAGCACCACTTTAGCTAATGGGGCATCCCGCTGCTGCCGCACCGCCGGAACACGATTTCTGTTCTTATCCTGAAGCAAAGTTCTTAACCTGAAGCACTATTTCTGGGTTAGTGAAGTCTGTAACCTGAAGCGTATGTAACCCGAGGTACCACTGTACTCTTCAGCTGAATGCAGAGTCCCCAGATGTGCTGCCCAAATGATTCAATGAGACTGGGGCGATGCCCATGACAGCTGGTTGCTCTTACAGAAGGGGGAGCTGTGGGCCCCAGAAGCTGCCCTCCCTCTAGCACCACCCAGATAATCTTGCATCTTTTGCTACTTTATATTTGGCTCCCTGCGATACTAGGGACGTGCTAATCGAAATTAAAAAGAACAACTGTTGCTAGCAGCAGTTGTCAAAAGCCAAGCAACTGACACAGACTAGACTGATCTCCTTTGCCTACCAGTGGGACAAAGGGCATGTTTTGCAAGTCCCAATTAAAAATAAAATACCACGGAATAAATGCCTCCTGCAGTGAGTCAGAAAAAAGAGATGCCAGGACTGAGGTTGGGGAGGGACTGGATTCCAGAGCTAAGCATCCCCTCTTCAACCCAACCACCTCCCTTCAAAACCCAACCCTAGGAACAAACAGCAAAAGCATTTGGGCACATGGCTTAATGTTCAAAGATAGATATCTTATCTCGATGAAAGCAAAAAGTGCAACGTCCAAGCTTCCCCTTTTAAAAACATTTTTAAAAATTCAACTTCCAAATTTTACAAATTATTATAAACGACCATCAGAACAAACCTCTCATCTCCATTGACTTCCCATCCATCCTTCCATGGTGTTCTTTTCTTACCTTTTAAAGCTGCTACATTACTTTTCTTTTACCCATTATATAAGTTAATTATAAATTACTAAGCTACAATTCTCACCTGTTGCTATACTTCAAATCCTGCATAAGTTTTAACACAACCATGATTTTTTTTTGCAAAATATTTCCATTCTTCCATATATATATTTCTTCATTCTGTGTCCAAGCTTTCCAACTCAAAACCTTGCAATGGACCCACCCACCACGGCCCCTCCACCTCTTCCCCACATTTTCTTCCTAATGTAACAGTAACATCGCAACAAATGAAACTGACCTGTAGAAAATATAACTTGAAAAAAGAGACATTGCACATACTTTTGTAAACCAAGAAATCTTTAATAAAAAAATACATTTATTTATTTATTTTTTGAAAAGGAGCCTGCAATGGAAAGCTCAAGTCAATCTGATGTCGGGGTTAGCACTCTGGCCATGAGAGATCTGGGTTCAAATCCCTGCTCAGTCTCACAACTCACTGGATGACCTTGCCTAGTCATGGTCTCTCAATCTAACCTACCTTTTGCAATGAGTTCATCTTGACGTGCTTATTGGCGGTAGTCTGGCACCCCCTCAGTGTTATTGTGCCCCTGCCTGGCTTGTGGGCTTCCCACAGGCAAACGGTATATACGAAAGCAAGAGATCTGATTTCTAGATGTCCAGCATCATCCCTGCCTTTGACCTTTGCAATCCTTCCAATCAGCCTGTGAGATCAGTGTGGAAGACAGGTCAGTGCTATTATCCCCATGCAGCTGATGGAGGCTGAGACACAATCAGTTGCCCAACGCCATTGCATGAGTTCATGACGCAGGTAAGAGTCAAGCCCGAGTCACACAGGTCAGACATTCAGTCACTGCTCTCCTGTGCTTTGAGTCTAAACCCATTCAGATATTCAGCCTGATCTTATGCAGCAGGTGAAAGCTCTGATACTGCCCAGACTCCATGGATGTCGATGATCAAATCAACCCTCTTTGCCACCAATCAAGTTGTGAGGGTGCTTCTGTCGCCCGAGGGATCAAACGCTAAATCAGTCCTCCCAATCAAGAATCCTGAACAATTTCCTTGGAAATGACACAGAGGGCCGGCCTCTCAAGACATGCGCTGGCAAGCACCTGCTTCCCGCCTCCCTTGTATTTTGAACTTAGGGTAAAAGTAAACAAGCAGGTGAAGAGGTTGAGATGATGAAAGACAATAGACCATTACCAGAGGCTTAATGGTCTTGTAAAGGAGATAAATGTCTTTGAAGTAGCACCCTTCTAAACCTATGACCTCTGGGGTGACCCTTCCTCTCCAATTATGGCAGGCAGATCATTGTACACTGACTTGTGGAATGGAAGCAGAGAGAGTACATTCCTTCGTGTCAAGCCATGTGCTTGTACACTGTCTATACTCAACCAAAGCCTCTCATTTATAGAGGTTGGCTAGTGAGAAGCACATCATGGTAGCTTCGGTTTTGCATATAGTAATGCCTTTCTGCCTTTTTAGAAATAAGAGAGTTTAACCTTATAGGTTGCTTTGAAGGGGGGTGCTATCACTTGAAACACGGGCTCCATTGACACGATACATTTAAAGCAGTGGCATGCCACGTTAAACAATCAAGGTTTCCCTCAGACAGTCCTGGGAATGGACTGTTTGAGTTTACTAAATGTGCTGAGAGTCAGGAGATCTTCCATTCACCTTACGGTGCTACAATTCTCAGAGTTCCCAGGAGCAGGATTTGACTGTTAAAGCACCTGGGAATTGTAGCTGTGTGAGAAGAATAGGAGTCTCTAAACAACTCTCAGCACCCTTACTGTTCCCGTTCAACCATCAACCAGCTGTCAGGATACACGCCCAATGTCTATGCCAAAACCATCTGACATATATATCAATAAAGTTGTCTCATTCAATCCCAATACAGTGGTACCCCGGGTTACAGATGCTTCAGGCTACAGACTCTGCGAACCCAGAAATAGTACCTCAGGCTAAGGACTTTGTTTCAGAAATCGCACGGTGGCAGCGGGAGGCCCCATTAGCTAAAGTGGTATCTCAGCTTAAGAGCAGTTTCAGGTTAAGAACGGACCTCCGGAACGAATTCAGTTCTTAACCCAAGGTACCACTGTATTGCTGTCCTGTGTCTTATGTTGCATAGTTGTATGTGCTTCTTGCTTCTGTCTCTTCTACACCTAAGTCCGCAATGGCATGGTGGGGTCTGCTGATGCTCTTCACATCTCTGCCAACCTGCTTCAGAAAACAGATTAAATGGCGTGAGAATGCTTCACTAAAGGCATAAACCCTGCAGAGGGGGAAGTGTCCTAGGGGGATTTCCTCCTGAAATCAGAGCATTTGTTTGTTGGCTTCATACATATTTCATCTCCCACCTACTGTTTTCCATATTGATTGATTACAGCCCCAAACCAGAATCAAACCTGATGTAGCTAAATGGCTGTAAGCATGATCAGAGCTGAGAATATTCTTTAAAATTCCCTTTGGGCAAAAATAAAGGAAATTGTCCGAGTGTGAGTGTTGTTGTGGTGGAAAACAAACAAACAGCTCAATATCACTAATTTCACTATATATGAAGTGTCCACAACTGCACATCAGCGCAGTCAACTTGCTGCATGTTTTACTGCAGGCAACAGACTGGTCGGCAATGAATTATGTTCAGACTTCACAGCCTCATTTCTTATCAACATTCCATACATGGTTTTTACTAAGCATTAAGCGCTGCCATGTAAACTCTATCACCTGGATTTGCCGAGAGAGGGAGGACTCCCCCAGGCATGTCACTGGAAGGCCAGCTCTCTTTGTGGTTTCTTTTGTATAATAATTATGCTGTAAGTGGAGCACCCGACTTTTCAATTACTGTAAATGGAGGCTCTGGAGGGCTGATGTGTGGATGTTCCTTATATACAGTCATACCTCGGGTTGAATGTGCTTCAGGTTGAGTGCTTTTGGGTTGCGCTCCACGGCAACCCAGAAGTAATGGAGTGTGTTACTTTTGGGTTTCGCCACTCGCACATGCGCAGACGCTCAAAATGACATCACGCGCATGTGCAGAAGTGGCAAAACGTGGCACACACAGACACACCATTGCGTCTTATGTTCTATTCAGGATGCGAATGGGGCTCCGGAACAGATCCTGTTTGCATCTCGAGGTACCACTGTATTCCATTCATGGTCCCAAATATCCCTTTATGTGCCCTGGCACCACAAAGATATTTAATGGTGATATGAAAAAATGCACAAATGTAACAAATCTCACACATTAAAAACTGCCCAATTCAGTTAGGTGATAAATGCAAGACATTACCTCTCATGAAATCCAGCCGAATTTGAGTCTTGGTCTTGCAAAAGCATGAGCTTCTCCTGACAAAACTTAGAAACAATGTCAATATCTGTTCAGATCACATTTCGGCAACTACATACAGCAGGGCTGGCCCTTCCATGGGGCAAACTGAGGCAACCACCTCAGGTGGCAGCAGAATCCAATGGCGCC